CAGGCAGCCCCCCCACCCCCCAGCAGCGGGGGGGAGGGGGGGGGGACTGGAGGCAGGTAGCCCCCCCCCCCCAGCAGCGGGGGCGGCATCAGGCACAGGCGAGGGTGAGCCCGAGGGGAAGGTTGGGGGAGAGGAGCAGCATCGTTGGGTTCACTGCCGAGTTTGAGGGGCCCGTGGACCGTCCCGTTCAAAGTCCGATAAGGAACGGCTAGAGCTGGTGTCGGACCTGGGAAAGGGTCCGATTGGTTCTGCCATCTTGGTCCTGGCTTGGGCAGCACCAGGAACAATGGGGGAGTAACTGAGAGAATGATGGCGGTCAGCGGCTTATTCAGCCTCTCCTGGGTACTGGGGGTAGAGGGACAAGGTACCTGGACCCAAAGTCCTTGGCCAGTGGAGAGCCCTCCTGTCTTCTTGGGGAAAACTTGGAATGACCTGTGGCCCTGCAGCCCCTCGCGAGGCATCTCCATCATGCCTCATTCCCTACTAGAGCTGTGGTGGAATCTTCTCCTTGGGCGAGAAAAGGGGGACCAGACCCCCTTCATCTTCTGTGATTCCGGTTTCTAGGCTAAGTATTAGGCGCGTTCAGGAGGGAAAAGGCTCAAGCCTCCGGACCTAGACATTTCAGGCCTAGACTAACATTCCAACGTAAAACTACACGAAAGGAGACAAAGCCTGGAGCTGAGGAGGGACAGGGACGATTGCGGGGTACACTGACACCAGCAGGCAGTCAGTGCAGGGCTGGACATTAGGAAGAGAGATTAGGGAGGGATGTGCAGAGAACTCAAGCCTTGGCTTGATCAGATGGACAGGTGGACCAAGGTCTCCAGGTGAGCCAGTGAGAAACTGAAGGGAATCTCAAGCTTTGCAGAGGCGCTTCCAGGACCAGGGGAGCAGGACAGGGCAAGGCAGTCCCTCTGCCCTCTCCCAGTACTGGGCAGACCTCGTCTAGAGGATTGTCTTCAGTTCTGGGCACCAGTTTTAAGAACAAGCTGGAGGGTCAGTCAGTCAAACATTTATTAAGCACCTAAGTTGTCAGGCATACCATTAAGTGGTGGGGATACAAAGACAGGCCGGGTCCTGCCTCCAAGCTACCCCCAAGGACAAGAGAGAGCAGTTTACACCTACAAAGTCCTCCCCAGAGCCCTGGGGCCATGAAGAGGAAGTAGAGGGGTCAGAGTGGATGGTCAAGGAGGAAGGAGGGCAGCATCTTTTAGACTAAGCAAGGAAGAACCACTGGATCCAGTAGCCAATCGTGGCCAGTGCTGAGGAGGGAGTGGATGGGGAATGGGAGGGGACAGTCAAAGAAAGGGGGCAGAGGTGGAGGACCAGAACTGAGGCTCCTCAAGCACTCTCTCAAGTCCCACTATTTCAGCCTTCAGGTTCTCTAATTCTTGAAGCCCAAAGCTCAGCTGACTGCCCAACTGTTTCCCATCCTTCCCAGGCCCCAGATGATCCCTGCTGGCCCTCCTGAAGGAGCAACCTAGCTGCCCTGTGGCTGCTGAGATCCCACTGTCAAAAAGACATTTAAAAACCAGACGACTTGAAGACCAGACTCCTTCACAATGAGCATCTCTCAGCCTCCGGCCTGGACCGTGCCAAGGGCCCACATGGCCGGGGGGGGGGGGATCCCATTCTCAAGGCACCCCCTCCTCTGCCGTTCGTCTTCCATCAAGGCTAGGTTATGGGGACTCCTTCTGGGAATCCTGTCCCCCTCCTGCTACGTTAGGCTCCCCCACCCCTGGCTTTTAACAAATGCCTGTCAAGTGGAACTGTGGGGCGAGAAACCCTCTGGAAGATCCTGTCCCCTGTGATAGGGTTTTATGATGGAGAAAGTACTGACCAGCCCTGCATAGGCCAGCATCTATCTGGGAAGTGCTGGGTTGGGATTCGGCCAAAAGGGTCCTCGCAGGACCAGTCCTCTACTGATTAATGAGCGTTTATTAGCCACTTACTGTTTGCCAAGCAGGTTGAGGGGTTGGGAGGACAATGCAGGATCCAGACAAGGGGCTGATCCTCACTACAGCCCTGGGGGTAAGCACCGTTACTGTCCCCATTTTACAGAGGAGGAAGTTGAGGCAGAGGTTCATCTAGTTGCCCAAGGTCCCACAGCTAGGAAATGTCTGAGGCTGGATTGAACTCAGGTCCTCCTGACTCCAGGCCCAACACCCGGTGTTGCCCTAGATGCCTCTAGCGGGGGAGAGAGTGGGGGAAAAATTAGGAACCGAGTCTGGAATGTGCCCAGGACATTACGGTAAAAGGGGGAGTCAGAGGAGCAAACCGACCCAGGATCCTGCTGCCCTGGAGCAGGTCTCTGAGGTCAGGTCTTCTGGCTTCTGGGCAGGGTGAGGGCGATGGGTCTCAGATGGAGATGACACGTTATGGTATTTTACTCCAGACCCAAGCCCAGCACCTTTATTGGCCAACTCTTGTTCTGCAGAGGGTGCCATGCCCTCAGTCCCGGGCACAATGAGCAACTTTGGGAAAGGCCCTCAGAGTCCCGGTGATAGGTTCTGCACAGGCCAGGATGAGGAAGTGCCCAGTAGCTGGGGCGGGTCAGGGGTCAAGTTCATGGTGAAACAGACTGGGAGACCCTAAAAGGGGAAGGGCCCCTCACTTGGGCGGGTCCGTGTTGATGCCGTATTTCTCCTTCAGCAGCTTCAGCTGCTCTTCCTTCTTCTTCGTGTCCATCTTCTGGAAAGCCTGAAGGGAGACAGAGGAGTGTGAGCTTCCCTGTGCCCCCCAGCCCCCCCCACCCCCGGCCCAGGAGCACAGCCCGGGCCCTCCCCCCTCCCCAGGAGCACAGCCGCCCCCTTCCCCGCGCGGGCTGGGCCGCACCCGGTTGGCGTTGTAGTAGAGCACCACCAAGTAGCGGTTGCACACGTTGAAGCCCGACAGGTGGTCGCAGGCGTTCTTGGCGTCAAAGATGTCCTCGTAGACCACATATGCCGTGCCGCGGGTCTCCGGGGTGTTCCCGCTGGGGGGGGGGGGGGGGGGGGGCGGGGGTGGGCGCTCGGTGGCGGGAGGGATCTAAGGGGGGCGGGGGGGGGGGCGCCCCCCCCCCCCCCCCCCCCCCCCCCCCGCCTTGGTAGTGAGCTCCCCATCGCGCAGGCATCCAAGGGGCGGACACTCACACGCGGATCTGGCGGATGGGCCCGTACTTGCCGAAGATGTCGTACATCTCCTCGGCCGTGATCTTGTAGGGCAGGTTGCGGATGTAGAGGATGCGGTTCACCTCGGGCGGGAGCCGGATCTGGGGGGGGCACAAAGGTACAGAGTGAGCGCTCGAGGGGGGCGGGGGCGGGGGCGGGGGCGGGGGGGGAGGGGCTGCGGGGCGCTCTCACGTTCGCGCGTTTGGCCGCTTGCATCGCCATGGCGGCGGCGGAGGTGGGGCTCGGGCTCGGGGTCGGTCGGGTTCGGGGTCCCTCGGGGCCGCAATCCGGGCCCGCTCGCTGCGGCTGCCGCTCCTCCCGCTTCCTCCTCCTCCTCCCGCTTCCTCCTCCTCCTCCCGCTTCCTCCTCCTCCTCCTCCTGCTTCCTCCTCGCGGCGTACGCGCCGAGATGAACGGGACTTCCGGTTTCCGCAAGTACAAGCTCGCCGGAAGTCCCGCCTCTCCGCATGCGCCGGAGAGAAGCGGCCTCGCCCCGCCCCCAGCTCCCGGAGCTCCTCCCTCAGGCTCCGCCCCGCCCACCCCTCCCAGCTCCTCGGGGCGCGCCGGGCAGTCGAGGGCCCTTTAGGAGCGGAGGGAGAGCCTGAGGTCACTGGGGGCCGAGCGTGCAAAGGCGCGGAGTCCGGAGAATGGCAAAAGTGTACGAGGCGGGGGGCGGGGATGCAGGAAGAATGTTCGGGGTGAGACGCCCAGAAAACAGATGGGAAGCGGGGCTGGGTGACGAAGGGCTCCTGGAGGCCATAGGGAGCCCCTGGAGGTTATTGAGCAGGGCGGGTCATGGGTCAGATAAGAACTGCGGCAGGCCGGACCCCTCCCCACTCCCACCCCAGCCCACCCAGGCTCTAGGTGACCAAGGCCTGCCCCAGGGGCTGGCTGCTGGGCAGACCCGAGGCCCCTGAAGCGGGGTCCAGGGAAGCCCCCCCTCCCCCTCCTTTACCCAGGGATTACTTTATAGCCGCCTGCCCCGCCCCCACTAGAACAGAAGCCCCTTGGGGCCAGGCGCCCGGGTCTTTTTCAGGACCAGCAGAGAATCAAACAGAAGGGGCCCCTGCTCCCCCTCCCCTTACAGATGCACAGAAAGGATCCCTATTCCCCCTCCCACCACACAGGAGGGGCCCATGCCCCCCCATGCTTCCCAGCCTTGCCCTCCTGGAGGTAGCAGTAGCAGCCCCCCCCCAACTCTCTGCCTGGAAAGCTCTTGGGGGCAAGAAGGCACCAGGCAGGTGGTTGGGGGACCAGCATGGTTTATTGTGCTCAGGGCCCCCAGCGCCACCTCCAGTACAATCTTGCCCAAGTTCTTATTCTGTTCCATGTACACATGGGCCTCTGCCACCTGCTTCGGGGGTAGACTCTGTCCACCACAGGCCTCAGTGCCCCCGGCTCATCCTGGGCAAAGTGAGGCAGGATCTGCTGGGTGAAGGCCGCCACCAGCTCTGCTTTGTACTGACCGGGTGGAAGGCATGAAAGCGTGGTATGACTCGAGGCCAGAAGGTGCCTGCCACCTTCTGCTGCCTCAGTTTTGTCACCCATGAAATGGGCACTGGATGGTTTACACACCAACCAAGCCCCTGAGGGAGGGCCTGTGCCCAGCCTGCTTCAGGTCTCCAAGGCCTTGGTGATCAAAGCAGGTACCACGGCCCAGCACCATTCCCCATTCCCCAGATTATCTGGAGGCAGGAGAAAACCTTTAAAAGGGCGGACTGGTACTGAGCACCAGTGAGCCCCTGCCCCTGTTTCCATAGCGCACCAAGGCCCATGGCGCAGACCACTGACCCACAGCTCAGCTCCCTACAAATCTGCCTACCCTTAACTCTGACAGGCTGCTGAGGAGCTGGTGGGGTTCTTTGGGGGACGCCCAGGCTATGAAGCACATTCATTCTAGGAAGAGGGTCCCAGGTAGCTGGAGGGACTCAGGGGGCAGCCCGGCCTCAGAGAGCAGGAGGCCCTGAGTCCCAGGCTCCGGGGGGGGGGGGGCGCCTCCTTGGTCCTCCAGGACAGAAAGTCACCACTGGGGCCCTCCTCCCTCTTCAGACTCTCTCCTGCCCTGCCCAGGACTTGCCTTCTTTTCTCGGGATCTCAGCAGGCTTGTGAGGAGGCTCCCTCGCTTGGCCAGAAGCTTGGAGAGAAGCTCCCCATGGACCTCCGCTCCGCCCCCAACGGCCATCCAGGGCCAGGCAAGCCACATTCTTCTCCCAGTAGGACCCGCCAACACAGTCCAGAATCACGTTGGCTCCAGCGCCTGGGGGAAGGGGCACAGGGTGGGCATTCTGACTTGGGCTGAAGGGACTGAAGACTCTTTAACCCCTAGGTTAGGTAAGTAACCAATTGCTTACTGCACTGTTTCTCTAAGATTCTGACTTTTCCATATGTAAGGGACAAATCAATGAAGAAAAGCTTTCCAGAGGTATTGAAGGTGAAGTCAGAGAGGTAGCGGGAGTCTGGGGCCCTGATGCTGTCTTGGAGATGCAAGCAGGGATCTGCTTCAATGATCATTTGATACAGGCCAAGTTAAGGCTGGGGAGACAGTGTTGATACATGCTGGATCGAATGATGTGGGCACAGCTGCTGTTCAGTTGGCCCGCCAGGTCAAGCTTCAGTCCCAGGCAGCAGCTGCCCTGGGAAGCCCAGGAGAGCAGCCAGAAGAGACAGCGTGCACCCCTCCACCCTGGCCTGACACAGCCCTTGTCATCTGCCTCCAAGAGCTGACGTGGGAGGCCTTTGCGGATGCTTCCTAGCCTGGGGACAGCCTACAGCCAGGCCAGGGCAACTGAGGCTCCCAAAGAAGGGATGGTGCTGCCCCTGGACTGTCCACACTTCAGTAACCTTCTAGTGGAAGTAGGGGCTGAGCTGTGAGGGTGCTGAGGGTCCCCAGCTACTCTGTGACTCAGTGGTTTGCCTCAGAGAGGCACATGTCCCTGCAGCCCACCTGGTGACCAGTCTCTCACTCCAAACTTACCTCAGCCAGCTCTTGGACCATAGACAGAGTCTATCTCCAGGACAGGGCCCCAAGTCCCACCAAAGCTCGTGCTCTGTCTGCTCAAAGAGCTTTTATGGAGGAAGTGGGAGGATGGATGGGTGAATGTTTAGAAAGAAAGAAGCTGAGAAAGAAGACATGCATGCACGCACACCCTCAGCGAGTACCAGCTCCAGGCCTTGGCAGCCTGGGGTTGGAACCCTCACATGTGTTCCAGGCCTATGAGGCTGCACCTGGGAACACCTTTGGATGGGTCTCAAAGCCTGGCCAGGGGACCATGGTGCCATGGGTGCCTAAGCCCTTAACCTGGCTGTGGGAGCTCAGCTTCCCCTCCTTGGCCACATATGCCACTCCTGCTCAGTAGCCCTGGAAGGGCAAGGAAGCTTCTTACTCTTAGTAAACTCCAGTGTTGCAGCTGAAAAATCCCCTTCCTTGTAGTTGAAGCCAGCAGCAGCCCCAAGCTTTTCCACTGCCTTAACTTTGTCCAGAGACCCAGCGGTGACCAGAGGAATGGCTCCAGCCTGGCGGGCCAACTGAACAAATGAGTAAGCTGAGGCAGGCAGAGGTTAATGACTTGCCCAGGGTCACACAGCTAGTAAGTGTCAGAAGCTAGATTTGTACTCAAGTCTTCCTGACTCCAGATCCAGTGCCCTAGCCACTGCACTGCCTCTAGCTAGCCTTAAGTAAACACCAAAGAGCTCTGCTGTGTTCCTGGGGCATGTATCCAAGTCATTGTTAAAAAAAACTTACTGTGATAGGCAAAAGGGATGCCTACTATTCATTCCTGGTGATTGGCACGGATATCGTGCCAGCACTTAGGCAGAAGCTAATAAGCAGGGTCAACTAAGACCAAGACTTAAGAAAGGGAGAGCCTAAGCTAGGAGAGGGTACAGGTGATGTTTTCATGACTGTTACCGTTGAAGGCAGGGATTTGGAAGGAAAGAGAAGACTTAGGAAGAGAATGGCTGGTCAAGAAGATGGTGGCTGAGGATGGGATTTGGATTTCTAGGTGGGGAACCTGCAGTCTCAAGGCCACATGTGGCCGTCTAGGTCCTCAGGTGTGGCCTTTTGACTGAACCCAAACATCACAGAACAAATCCCCTTCATGAAAGGATTTGTTCTGTAAAACTTGGACTCAGTCAAAGGGCCACACCTGAGGACCTAGACGGCCACATGTGGCCTTGAGACTGTAGGTTCCCCACCTCTGTTCTAGACCATGACTCAACCTTGAGAAATTACAAGCTCACAGCCAGGGATAGAGTGGATAAGATAAGTGGAGAAGCCAACAGGTGGACAAGGATAGATTTGGGGGTGGGGGGGGGCCAAGATGGTGGAGTAAATGCTGGGACTCACTTGAGCTCTCCTCCAAACCCCTCCAAACACCTGTAAAAATGACTCTAAACAAATTCTAGAGCAGCAGAACCCACAGAAAGACAGAATGAAGCAAATCTGCAGCCCAAGACAGCACAGATGGTCAACAGGAAAAGTCTGTTGTGCCAGCCTGGGGCAGGAGCACAGTCTAGCATGAGCCACCGTGCCACAGACTGGGCCCCAGCAAACCCGGAGCAGGCCTCAGAGGACTGAATCACCAGCAGCTGTGGCAGTTTCCAGACTTCTCAACCCACAAATTCCAAAGACAACTTAGAAGGTCAGTAGGAAAGGTCTGTCAGGCCTGGGTGAGAGAGGAGTGCAGTGCCTGCTTCCAGAGCTCTCAGTCCACAGACAGAAAGGGGATCAAATAACTGATCAGAAGGAGATTACAGGGGTCTCTTTGCTAGCACTGAGGCAGAACTCTGTTGCTTTGCCCATACTTGGATCTGGGCCGCAGGCCTGGGTGGCAGTCCTGGGGCAAAAAGGGGCACTGGCATAGCAGAGCTTGTGGCAGCAGTGGAGAGGGAACCCTCCTCACAGTTCCAGGACAGAAAAGAGTACTTGTGGTCACTCACTGACCAGAGCACAGGCCAAGAGAGGAGTAAACACCTCTCCTCAGATCATAGCACCTTGGAAGAACTGAAAACTTACAGGTCCCTAGAAGTATCTCTGAAAACAGCTGCACAAAACCCTTGAAGCTTGGGACAGTATACCCTCCACACTGGAAGCAAACAAAGAGTTAAAAGTTTTAACAAGGAGTTAAAAAGTCAAGTAATTGGCTGGGAAAATGAGCAAAGAGTAGGAAAAAAAACCTCAGACTACAGAATCTTACTTCGGTGATAAGGAAGATCAAAACATACAATCAGAAGACAGCAAGGTCAAAGTAGCCTCTAAGAAAAATAGGAATCAGTCCCAGGCCATGGAAAAGCTCAAAAAGAATTTTGAAAAACAAGTAAGAATGGTAGAGGAAAAACTGGGAAGAGAAATGAGAGTGATGCAAGAAAATCATGAAAAACGAGTCAACAGCTTGGTAAAGGAGACCCCAAAAAATACTGAAGGTATAGAAATACTGGGGTATAGAAATCTATCTTACCCTATAGGAAAATAGAAGGGGAAAGGGATAAGCGAAGTGGGGGGTGATAGAAGGGAGGGCAGATTGGCGGAAGGGGTATTCAGAATGCATGCCATCTTGGGGTAGGGGAAGGGGCAAGATGGGGAGAACATTTGGAACTCAAAATGTTGTGGAAATGAATGTTGAAAACTAAAAATAAATAAATTGGAAAAAAAAGAATAGATTTGCCCAATATCTTGCAAATCTAATTTTTAAAAAGCTTTCAATTTAAAAGGAAGGAGAAGAGAGAAAATAGCAGGTGCACACACACACATGTGCACACGCGTATACACACACATACATCTTTTATGCTGGCTGTCAGAGCCTCTCTGCGAAGCAGGATCAGGAATGGTTGAGATACTGGGCAGTTCACAGGAAACAAAATTCGAGACACGAGAGGCCTGAAATTGCTCTAAATGGAGTCAACTGAAGAGCGGGAGCTCCAGATGAGTGCAGGATGATGAGGAAAGTGGTGGGTGGTCCAAAGCAGTGTCGGGCTGCTCAGTGCCTACCCTGTCCAGAAAACTGCCAGGAATGTGCTGCGTGGCCCAGGGTCAGGCACTTGCCCTCTCTGTTTCATCCCCCTGTCTCTGAGGCTTCCATCTCCTCCCTCCCCCCCCACCTTAATCTGAGCTTGAGTCCTCCTCTGGGGTGGTCATGAGGCTCCTCTGGCTCTTTTCATGTGTTATGCTCCCTACTCCAAACTCTGGCCCCACTTCCTCCAGAACACTCCCTCGTCTGTCCACACAGGAGGGGTGGGTAAACTGAGCCATCCACAGCAGCGTCCCTGGGGAAGCACAGGCAGAGATCACGATCCGGGTCCTAGCACACACACACCCAGGGCTGCTCGTTCCACCTGTCCCTATACAGGAATCCTCTGGAGGGGGTGCTACTGCCTCCTGAGGCAGGCTGTTCCACTGTGGGACAGCCATCCTTTTCAGAAGCCAGTCACAATTGGAACCCCACAAACAGCTGTTGGGAATGTAACTTCACAAAGGGTAGGGGTTGGGGGGACCCACAAGGCTCCCAGAGCTTGTTGGTGGCTACAGCTCTGTCCCCAGGCTCAGGAGAAGATGCAGAAACCTAACCTTGCTTCCTCACCTATGACATGGAGCAGCTGGAAGGCTGTGAGCCAGGCCTCAGGGATGGCTGCTGCCTGGATCAGTCAGCCCCTTGGGAACAGGCATGAGGTGAGCTTCAGGGACCATGACATACTCTGCCTGCCCCCCCCCCCCCCCCCAGCAAGGAGAGCCATTGCTGAGTGCCCTGCTTTCCGGGGCCCCTGGCAGCCACGTGGCCAAATGCCTCCAGGCCCAGAATGTTGCTGGCTCCAGGGGGCGGGCTGTACTGGCCCCAGCGCTGTGGAGAGAGTGTAAAAGTGTCAAAGGAGGTGTTTCTCCCCTACCTGGCCAGGTCATGTGCAGAGAAGAGGGGACCAGAAGTGACTGTCAGACTGAGGTGACAGGGACCTCTCAAAGCATTAATGAGTCCAGCTCCTTCATTTTACAGGTAGAGAAACTGAGGCCCCAAGTGAGCCAATGACAGGGCTGGTATAGAGTCTGGGCTTCCCAGGGATCAGAAGGTGAGCCTTTCCCAGAATCCCTCTAGAGCAGAGGCCCTGGCTCCCCATCCCTGACCAGACATAAGGACAGAAACAGATCAGGAGTCAGCTTCTGGCCTCCAGGACACCTTGGCTAGAGAAGCTGACAGGAATTTACTGAGTGTTTGTGATTGAATGGGAAGGGGGCTCAATTGGTCCTCAGAAGACCTAGGTTCAAATCCCATCACTGCCACTTAGGGTGGGGCCCTAGCCAAGCCCTTCTTCCTCTCTCAGCTTCCCTTTCTCACCTAAGAAATGAGTAGGTTAAAAATCCTAAACTCTCTACCTGGCAAGGTGATTGTCTAAAAACATAACCAGTTCCCACTGTCTGGGGCAGGGCAGCAACTAAGGCCCTGAGTGTCATACCCAAGCCCCTGCCAGAGCCTGCAGCCTGCCCATTCATACCTGCAACACATCTGCCCTGTTCAGAGCACTGGCAGCCACCTTCAGGAGGACTTCTCCTGGTCCTGGCTCAGGCTTGGCCACCTCTTTCAGGTAAAGGTTTTCAGGGCCCCCAGGCTGGTCAAAGTGCACTGCTAACATGATCCTCTGCTCTCATCACCTGTGCATGGAGATGAGCAGATGGAGGGAGAGAGAGACAGAACATTGGAGAGAGTGAGACCAGACAGCAACGGAGACAAAAAGAATGGGGGGCGGGATGCTCTTCTCTCTTCTTCCTCCCCTCCGCAAAGGTCCCAATCCTGGTCCAACAATCAGTCATTTCTTCTATAACACTGTCGAGCCCTTCCTAGGGGTCAAGCTTGTGCTGTCCTGGGAAAACAAGGACAAAAGCATTTTAGATTGTCAGCCCACTCATCCAGGGAGGCTGGCTCAGGGTCCCCCAGGTTCCCAGCTTGCAAAGTACCTACACCACCTGCCTCCCTTCCCCCACCCCCCACCAGAGCCTCAGCCCCTAGTTTGTGGCTCACACAGAATCCTTTGCCTGGGCAGCCAGTCAGCCAGTCAACACACATTTGGTAAGTGCTTGGTATGGGCCAGGCACCCTGCTGAGCCCTGGAGAGGCAGGCTGTCCAAGGTCAAGGGGAGAAAGGCTGCTGAGCCTGAGGCTGCCCCTAGTCTGAGGCAGTCATGGCCCCAGAGTCAGCCCCTTCCCCAGCAAGGACGAAAGCTGATGACTCCAGAGCAAAGGGAGGGGGCTGCACATTGTCAGTCTTCCATTGGGCTGCCAGAAGTCCTTTTCTGGCAAGAAGCTCAGCGTTAGAGTGACTGCAAACTCAGTATGAGTCAGCAAACTGACACCTTAGGGGCTCTTGCATTGAGTTTAGATAGAACAGAGAGGGAATGGCCCCCCCCCACGCCTGCTGCCCCCGTGTGGCCACATTGGGAACGCTGTGCTCAGCTCTGGGCTGTACAGCTTATCGAAACCTCGAAAAACATTAAAGTGTCCTCGGAAGGACAACTAGGAGGGCAAAGGGCCTTGAATTCATGTCATATGAGGCTACTTGGGAGAAACTGCATGTTTAGTCTGCAGAAGAAAAGATTCTGGTGGTAACTGCTCAACTTGTAGGAGAGGGTTAGACTTTTCTTGCTTGGTCCCAAAGGGAAGAACTAGCAGCAATGGGAAGGGGAGAGGAGAGGGAGAGAGGATGAGAAAGAGAGAGAGAGAGAGAAGGAGGAGGAAGAGGAGAAGGAGAAGAAGAAGAAAAAGGAGGAGGGGGAGAGGGAGAGGATGAGAAAGAGAGAGAAGGAAGAGGAGAAGAAGAAGAAAAAGGAGGGGGAGGGGGAGGAGAGAGGGAGAGGGAAAGAAGGATGGGGGAGAGAGAGAGAGATGGAGGGAGAGATGGGGAGGGAGGGAGAGAGAGAGAGAGAGAGAATACTTCACAACTTCAAAAGGACTTGTTCAAAATGAGCGTACTGCCATGGGACAGACGGGCAAAGTGCGTAAAGGATTAGCCTTTGGAATTACCAGAAGAATGAATCCAAGCATCAAGAATAATGGGAGATGTCCTATAGCTTTAGGGGAAGGTGGTCGAGCCAGTCAAAAGATAAATGGGAAGAAAATACCAGGGCTAATATTTTAAACTCACTAGATTCAGTGAGAAATAAAGCCCCGGAACAATCCAACACGCTTTTAAGCCAAGAAATGCTCGACCCTCTGAAAGTCCCATAGTTATCATTCGGGAGCTGGTGGAAGAGTCTGCCAGGTGCCTGGGCACCCTCTGCCTCCTCCCCCCAGCCCCGGCTCTGGGCGTACGGAAGAGCCTGGGACCTCCCTGAGGGGGCCGGGCCGGGGCGGGGGGCACTCCCCTCCCGGAGTACCAGCATGACTCTCGCGGAGCCTGGAGCCTTCTCCAATGCAAGGCTGCTGCTCGATCATTCGTTAAAATGCTTCGGTCTCATCTGGAGTGGTAAGGAACCAACTGCCCGGGTAGACAGCTAGCTAACTGGAGTGGGGACAGGACGCCCAGCTAGGGAAAAGGGGACGGGCGGACCTCAGGGGCCGACCCAGGGAGTGGCCGCTGCCAACGTGGGTGGGTCAGAGCACCTGAGTCAGGCACACCCGCCCAGAACTCCTGGCACCGAAAGTGCGGAGGGCAGCTGGGCGGGAGCGTGGTGACCCCTACACGAAGGCCACGCGTCCCACTTATGCTCAGGACTTCTGGGCGGGCACGTCCCCATCCCGGGTGCTGAGGGGCTGCTGGAGGGGGCTAGAGGGTGGGGGGGGGGCCTCCGAAGTGCCTCCTGCTGTGGCCTCCCCTTCCCCACTTGGCCTCTCCTGGAATCTTCTCTTAGCTCGCTACCCTCGCAGCTCCCACCTGTGTGGACCGGGACCCGGACGTGCGGCCAAAGGCAGAGGGCAGGCACAGACTGGGGAGCGAGGCGTGCCCGGCGGACCTGGGGGGTTGGGGGTGGGGTGGAGAGGAGGAGGGGGCGGCTTTCTTCTTCTCAGGTTCTGTTTCTCCTCTGACTCCGCCTCGTCCTAGAAGAACCGACCGTAAAGCTCCCCAACCAGCTTCGCCCCACCCTCCTCCCAACTAGCCGAGACTTCAATTCCAAGGTCACTGACTGGTCGGCCCTCGAACCTCAGACCCCAGGCCGCTGCTCTAGCTCCGCAGCCAGTCTTGCCCTCGAGGAGCTGCCAGTCTCCAGGGCGGAGCTGAGGCTTTGCTCCCTGCTTGCTGGACAGCTCCACCCTCCTGGTGGGGGAATCTCGAAATCAGCCTGTCTGAAAGGGAATTTACTATCTCTCCCCCCAAGCCCCTGCCCTCCAACTTCTCTGTCGCTGAAGAGGGCTCCACCATCCTCCCAGCCCCTCAGGCTAACAGCCTGTCATTGGGGACTCCTCAGTCTCACCCACTCCCGTCCCGGCCCCAATCCTCTGCCAAGGCCAGTCCTTTGCCACATTTCTCCGATATCCCCTGGGACGCACCTCGTGTGAGGGCTGGTCATCCCCCTTTGGCGGCCACCTAATTCCCCCAATTGTCACCTGCAGCTCGGAGGAGCTGCAGTATGTGCATCAGCCCCATCTACACCCAGGTAAACAATGGCCAAACTAGGTTAAGTGTAACCAAAGGGCCTCAGACCCCACGGGGATTTAGCAGGGTGCCTACCCCAAACACGTGAAGATTTTCCCTGGCAGAATGGGCAGATAATTTGTTCCAACAGTGGTGAAGGAGGCCAAAGCAGGTGCTGTGGAGTACTGGGGCCTTGGTCTTCCTTGAGGCCTCTCACAGGGACGAGAGGATGACCCAGGGAAAGATTTGTACAAGAGGTATCATGAAGGCAGAAATGACAAGATCCAACAACGAGGATGTAGCCCCGCGGATTAGGAGGCGGGTAGTGTCGAGCCAGTTCGGAAATGGGGAAGGTTCTAGGAGAAAGACTGTGAGTTCTCTACAGAGCATCCAGTTTGAGAGATCTCCCAGCTGGCAATGGGGACTAGAGTTTAGGACTGAGACTGGATTATCCAGGAGATCCATATATTTGGTACCTTTCTTCATGAGGTCCTTGAGGGCTTACGGGGCCACCAAAAGAGGGGTAAAGGGAGACAAGGAGAGGACCAAGGACAGAACCTTGGGGGACACCCATGCCAAAGGGGCAGCAGATGGAAAAAGGACTGGGAAGGAACGATCTCAAGCAAGGCTATTGACTCCAAACAGTTTCAACACACATCTTTAAGGACAGCTGAATTCAGTCATGGAGTCCAGGCATCTCCTGCACAGATCACAAAACCGAGCCTCAGAGATTAAGCTACGGCCAGCCAAGGTTACAAGCATTTCCTGAGCACCTACCACAAGCAAGACACTGGCCTGGACAGCGTGGCCTGGGGACATGAGGCCTCAGAACTGGACACATCCGGCCTCCCCCCGAGGACCTCCAAGGATGGGGAGCTGACCACCGGCACACATCAGCCTCACCACAATGTTCCCTGCTCCCCATCTTAGGTCTTCCAGACAGCCGGGCTGCTGCTGCTCCCTCCTCCAGCCTTCTCTTTTCCAGGCTAAACATCTCCTGTTGCTTCATTCAAACTCTTGAGTTTTGGTTGACTGTCTTCTGATGTCCTGAAGCCCAGGGAGGTGAGGCAGGGTGAGGACCAGTCCCTGGCCCCAGGGAATTTACCTCTACAGGACCTCAGGAGGAGTAGAGCAGCCCTCTCTCCTCTGGGAAGACCATGGACAGCACCACCCAGGTGGTACCAGCACTTAAACCCTGATGCCCGAGTCAGGAAAGAGACACCTACACCCGGCATCCAGCCTTTGTACCAAGAGGCAGCCCTGTGAAGGTAGCAGGGAATGCCGAGGTCAGGCAGACAGGGTCCATGGTCCTACCCCAGACACTCACTCATCCTGAGCCTCGGTTTCTTCCTCCTCCCCCCAATCCTGGGTGAGTCAATTCTGCCTTAAAGCAGCCTTAGCTGAGCCTCAGAGTTCAAGGCAAACGGGAGCCATGAAAAATGGGAAGGGAAGAGAGTCAGCCCATATTAAGCATATCATTGAGCCAGGGCAATGTTGGTTGCCTGTTCCTGGGCTATCTTGAGCTCCCTAGAGGAGGAGCAGCAGGGACATGGAAGGGAAGAAGGGATGGCCACGGGGGAAAGGAGGAAAGAAAACCCTGGGAAGTGAAACAGAGGGAGAGAGGTGGAGCTGGGAGCCTGGGGCCTGGGAGGACAGGCAGCCTGGATCTGCCAGGAAATGGTCCGGGCCTCCCTTCCCAGTGCGTCTGTGTGTGTCCAGAGCAGAGGTTGACCCCCCCAGAGTGCCTAGCTCAGTGCTAGCGCTTCTTGCTCACTCCTATTCTCAAAGTGCCTATCTCCAGATCACCCACGCTGGGCTTGAAGGAGTGCAGAGCGGGAAGGGCAGCCCCGTATGGCCCTCCTGTCCCTCCTTTTGGGCCTCGTCTTCCTCCACCCAGGGCTCCCCTCCAGGCTGCTGAGCAGTTCCCAGCTGAGCCCGAGCAGCAGGCAGGACGCTGGCACTTGTGCACCCTGGTGGCAGAGGTCCTGCTGCCCACAGTGAGGCAACACAGAAGATAAGAAAGAGGTTTATTTGGCTTTGAAGAAAGCTGAGAGCTGAGAGCCGAGGCTGGGGGCGGGTCACGGGGTCACGGAAAGGTATCTGGGGTGAGGTCTCAGTGTGAAGGCTTGATAACAACCACAGTTCCTATTCTCTCAAGGGTGGACAAGGGCCAGTTCTCAAGGAGTCCACTCCCCTGGGGGGCTGGCATTTGGGCTCCTGGGGGCGATAAATCTGTCCCAAGTTTGGGTGACATTTTGCCCTATGCCCCTACTACCCACCTACTGGCCCTTCAGGTACGACCAAGGAGGGGCAGCGTTCAGGGAAAAGCCTTTCACAGAAACAGCAGCAGCACCAGGAGGCCTAGGGAGACAGCCTGAGGCCCAAAGTGCCCCAGAGGCTGGGCCAGAAAGCCCTGGAGGAATGGCCTTTTAGGCAGGCGTGGGGAAAATTCCAACCCCAGGAAGAAAAAGCTGTTTCCTCTAGGCCTCCAGGCCCTCTGAGCCAGCATCCAAGAATCTTGTTCTTCAAGATAAAGGCTGCTTCCTTCTTCAGGTTGGAGACTCTGATTCTGACCCTGACCCTGACCCTGACCCTAGACAGTCTAAGAGCAGCCGTCATGCAGTGCTTAACCTCAACTGTGACCCTGACCTTGGACAATCTACGCTGCCAACCCTAACATCATCCCTAATCCTGACCCTTAACCCTGGACAGTCTAAACTGTTAACCACATCACCAACCCTAATCCTGGCTCTGACCCCAACCCTGACCCTTAACCCTGGACAGTCTAGGATGTTAACACTAACCTAACCCTACTTCTGACCCTGAACAGGACCTCTACCCTAATCCAGACCCTGAGGGTGACTGTCACCCTGCACAGCCTGGTCTATTATTCATGACCCCAACCTTCCTCTCTGGAAATTTCTTGTTTTTTTCTTAAAGACAGTTGAGGTTTTCAGAGTCTTCTGAGTGAATTAACTTCCCTTCTTCCTTAAGTAGTCACCTAGGATAAAACAAGAGAGATGTTCCAACTGGGGTTCAGCTGGCCTCTGTGTCAGATGGGCCCTGAGGGAACCAGGACCGTGCAGTTTAGCTTTGGACAGAAGCCTGGGTCAGGTCCAGGTGCCATCTCTGAAGGTCACTATGGCATGAGTAGCATTTCTATGAGGCCGGGACACTCAGAGGTGACAGAGGAGACCTCTGTGGGGCTGAGGACGAGGTGAAGAAAACAGGTAAAATCTGACTCATCCTCCAAGTCCCCAAAGTCAGCATCTGTTGGGCCGCAGCAGCAGAGCCAGACTTTGGACAGGCCCCACTCCCTAATCTCCATTGTTGGACAGTGCTGAGCATTTCCTGTGGATTTTATGACTCTGGAGACAGTTTGCCAAAACCCCAGCTCTCTCCATCACCTTCTCCTGCTCAAATCTTCCAGGGCTCCCCAGTGCCTTGCTTGTTTATCTTTTCTATGCTGCTGCTAGGCTGGGATGTCGTCCCCTTTCCCTCCCCTCAGAGGCCATCTCCTTTCAAAGGCCTTTCCAGATTCTCCCCCACCCTGACTGTACACTTCTTTGGGAATGCCATGACATGGGGTGGTGGGTAGGTGTGGGAAGCAGGTGTCCTGAAGGTCTGCTGGGGGCAATGGACTGGCCCCTGTCCCCTGGGCGGCAGCCAGAAAGGGAGGTGAGAGTCCTGCTCTCCTCTGCCCTCATCTGGCCTTGTCGAGAGGACTGTGGTTTAAGAAGGACGCTGATAAACTGGAGGGGGGCCTCGATGGGAAAGGCCTGAAGGGACTGGTCACATGGAGCCTGGAGAAGAAAAAACTCGGTGAGGGGGAAGACACCCCAAAGTATCTGTCGGGCAGTCGTGTGTGCTCCATGAGCCCAGCAGGCAGAACCACGTGCAAAGAGCTATCCCAGTATGGAGCGGGTGACCTACCACACAGGTCTTCCAGGCTGGGGCAGTGGAGACAGGTGAGGGTTGAGCTCAGTAGCCACTGAAGTCCCTCTCAGCTCTGGGATCCTGGGAAACAGTGCCCCCCAGAAGCCTGCACACTCAGGGGTCCATGGATCAGTAAATCCAGGGGGTAGAGTGGTCCCCAGGAGAGGAGAGGAAGCATTCTAGGCTGAGGAGTGGCCTGCAGGGACACGGGGATGGTTGGGCCAGGAACAGTGAAGGAGCTGGAGGCAGGCTGGGCATGGTCTCAACCACCTGGCTAGGAGACCTCTGGAGGCCGCCGAGAGGAGGAAGGACAATTTGGCAGCCCAGTATCGGTGGACGATCTTGCCAACCTGAAGCATCAGTCATTAGGAATGGGTCCCCGAGACGCATACACATCTTGGCACAGGGGTCCCTTACCCAGCTTCTCAGCAGCCTCCACGCACACGCTGGCATACATGTCCTCCCGATACGTGGCCACCAGGAGGTAGAGATTGGTTTGAACAACCACCAGCCCCGTGTTGTTCTAGGGAGAAGCACAGGAAGGTACTGAAGAACTTGGTGAGATCAAAGCTACGTGTGGAAAAGAGCCAATTCTGAGTGGAGGAGAAAGCAGGGACTTTATTCTTGCTCTATCTTTGAAATAACTCTACTTTTTTAATTAAGGTTAAGTGATTAGTTACAGGACACAGAGGCATGTGACCCATGGTACCTAACAGTGGGGGGGAACACAGCTGAAGGAGGCGGGGGTCAGGAGACTCCAGACCCCTAACCTATATGCTCGAGCCCCACTCTCTAGGCCAGGCCTACGACATCTCCCCGCCCTGAGGAGTACCTCAGGGGGCAGCTAGGTGGCGCAGTGGATGGAGCACCGGCCCTGGAGTCAGGAGGACCTAAGTACCTCACAGCCAGCCTGCTTCTAGCCTTAATGGTCCTCATAGCCATGAACTGGGGAAGCAACTTCTGTGGAGCAGTAGCTATCTCCACTAGTCGTTAACAGGACAGACAAGCCAGCTTCCCTGGAGCAGCAAGCAGGGCGCTCTGAGAGAGAAGAAAGCGTACCTGGACCACCACCTCCCCTCACACCCTGATGGAGACAGCCCCGGTCCCTGAACCCAAGAGCCTTGGGAACGGCCAGGCTTCCTTCCCAGGGCCCACAGCCATCCTCTGGGGAACTGCTCCTGCAGGGCTCGAACCCCAGCTCCTCAAAGTCACCATGATCCTCGGCTCAATCAGGGAAGAGGCCAGACCCGCAGCTTTGCCTCTACGGTCATCCTGACCTGTGTCCTGCCACCGGACCCTGACCCCTCTGGGGTAGAGGGCCAGGCTGACAACTTTGCGCAGCTCTGCCTCACTTCAATCCAAATGCACTTGCAAATCGAGGCATCCCCCTCCTAACGTCACTGCTCCACTGGAGAATGAAGGCTGAACAGCCCCCCAAGGATAGAGCCTCAGTGCTCAGCAGCTGCAGCAACAGGCCTGGACTCTGACCCCCACGTTTCTGTGGCTCTCTCTCCCATGGTCACAGACTTCCCTCATGGTCCCTGAAGCCAAAGACCAAGGGCTCAGGGGCCATGTGGCTATTTCCCATCATTGATTTACCCAGATGCCAACAATGCCTGGTGCTGCAGCCAGTAGGGAAGGTGGAGCTGACTTGGGTCTTTTGGCAGCTCCTCCCAAGCACCGGTTAGCTAAGCTGAACCAGCTCCAGAAGGTCCAGAAGGACTCTCTCCTTATAGGCTGTCACGACTCGTCCACGGTCCTTGGGTGGAGGGAGGCTGTGTCAGCCCACCACGTGCACCGGAGCCCAGGGCTGCGCGTCTGCCATCCCAGGGCAGCAGCGGTCCACTCCCCTCTCTGGCTTCCTTCAAGTCCCTAGTGAAATCCTTCTCCTCCAGGAAGCCCTCCCCACTGCCTCTTTGTTCCACTGCCCTTGCTCTGTTCATTATTGTCTATTTATCCCATCCTTGGCTTGCTTTCTATTTATCTGTTTACATTTGTCTCCCTCCTTAAAGTGTGGGCTCCTTGAGGGCTCTTCTTTGTCCTCCCAGGCTTAGCGCGGTGCTAAGGTAGCAGGGTAGGTGCTTCAGAAATGTTCACTGACTCATTGACTGACTGACTGGTTCTTCCCTCTCAGCTCCTGTCCACACCCAGGAACCAGCAGGAAACCCCCCCAGGCGTAGGCCTAGCAAAGTGTGAACACAGACCCATATCCAAGACAGAGAAGGAAGTGACTCCAGCTTCTAAGACCAAGAGCCATTCCCTAACACATACATGGTCAAGGGTATGGACAGGGAGTTTCTAAAGAAGAAATGCAAGCTATCGACAATCTTTTGAAAAAGAGGCTCAAACCACTCATAATCAGAGATACGCCCTTGAAAGCACCTCTGAGGTTCCACCTCACACCCATCAGATTGGCCAAGTGGACAAAAACGGACCATGGTGGAAGTCAGTGAGGCTGTGGGAAAACCAGGTCATTGACACCCTGCTGGAACCGTGAACTGGTCCAGCTGTCCTGGAAAGCTGTTGGAACTATGTCCCAAGAGTTACCAAACTGCGTATTAAAACTCTAAAGCATAATTTCGAGCACTACGGTTGCTAGGCCGATAGCTCAGAGACAAGAGATGGAGGAAAGGAAGCCCTGAGAACAAGGGTGTTTTATAGCAGCTCTTTTCACAGGAGTGAGTCACAAGCTGGAAACTGAGGGGGGAAGGGCCCATCGATTAAGGCATGGCTGACCAGCTGATGGCACATGAATGGGGTGGGATACTACTGGGCCATGGTTTCAGAAAAACCTGGGAAGACTTGCATGAATTGATGCAGAGGGAAGAAGCTGAACCAGGAGAACATTTTGTGAAACAAACAAACAAAAACAACCCCAAACCAGACAACTCTCAGAGTTGTGAAGAGATGCAACCCTCAAAAAGTGAAGAACTCCGCCCAACCCAATGAGCACAAGATTCCAGAGCGCCAATGATGAAGCGCACTGCCCATCTCCTGCCTGGGGGGATGGGCTCAGTCTGCGGGTCACAACATTTATTTTTTGGATGTGGCCAAAGGGGGAGTTTGTTTTGCTTGACTATGCACGGGAGTTTTGTTTTTCCTTTTTTTCAGTAGGGATGGCAATAGAGTTTCCACCACCCCCAAAATAAAAGAAAGAAAAAAGAAAAGAAAATCATCATTGAAGCATTTTAAAACGCCCTGAACAGAGGAGGCAGAGGCAAGCAGGAAGGCTATGAAGGTTACAGGCTGGGGCAGCTAGGTGGCGCTACAGTGGATAGAGCACCAGCCCTGAATTCAGGAGGACCCGAGTTCAAATCCAGCCTCAGACACATAACATTTACTAGCTGTGTGACCCTAGGCAAGTCACTTAACCCCATTGCCTAACCAAATAAATAAATAAATAAAATTGACCAGTACTTAATTTAAAAAAAAAAAAAAGAAAGTTACAGGCTGAATTTATGTACTTAAAGAGAAAAGAAAGCTGCACATTACAGACATTCACAGATCCATCTCAAACGCACATTTCCTATTCTCACGTGTCTGTGAAAGTGCTCCTTTTGTCCGATGTTTGCTAGTTCAAATTAAAAGTAAAAGAAAAATGCCTGATAATCAAAGTTACCAATGCAGCGATCAAAGGAATCTAGGGACTCTCTCCGTTCTTGGTGAAGATGACGGGACGATAAGCCACTCCCGGGGTTGGACCCGACCAGAGCACTTGGGAATCAGGGAAAGAAAAAGAAAACAACAACCGTGTCCATGCCCTTTGACCTAGACGTGCGCCCCAGGAAACAGCCACGTCCGTGCTCCCGTAACACTACAGACGAGGTCAGGTGTTTTGCTTTGTTTTTGATGTGTCGATGTTTTTGCTGATTGTTTTCCCCCTTCATCTTTCCCTTTTTCTTTTTCTTTTACAAATCCTTTGTTATAAGGAATGGCTCTTTTGGGACAGGAGAAGAGGAAGCATACAGGGGAAATCTTGGCGATGTTAAAAACAAACGATATCAATAAAACATATTTTTGAAAAAGAAAACAAGCATTTCCTCCCTGTGCAGAGCATTTGCTCTGCCTCTTCTCTGTTTTCAGTGGTGCATTCATTAACACGCCTTCCGTCCATCATGAACGTACTGCGGGCGTGTGGTGTGAGATGGGGGCCCAGCTCCTCCCCAGGGGCCCCTGCCCTCAGCCACACACCTTCCTGGCATAAAGGGAGCGCTCATCTGCTCTGACACACTTGTAATCCTTCTCTCTGAAGTACAGCCCATCCCTCCGCACTTGAACAGGGTTCCTGGAGAATCCGCTCACAAGCGCACGGATGTCACTGGGTGATATCTGCAGTTGTTAGGGCAAAACAGGGGCAAGGAAGAAGTGCTGATAAAGTGCCTACTGTGGGCCAGGCACTGGCTAAGGGCTTTACAAAGATTACCTCATTTGATCCTCACAACCACCCTGGGAGATAGGGGCTATTATGAACCCCACTGGACAGTTGAAGAAACTGAGGCAGACAGAGTTCAGTGATTTACCCAGGGTCACCCAGGTATTCAGTGTTTGAGGCTGGATTTGAACTCTGTGTAGCCTCAGAAGCCTCTCTGTTCTGGCACTAACCCCTCTCTGTGCCCAACCTTCTTTTCTTACATTAAACCCTGGTGAGGACACCAAGACAGTGCGCTCGTGTATCTTGATGATGGCAGCATTGTCCACGTGCTTCGTGCCCAGGAGGGACTCCAGCAACAGGTTCTGCACACTGCTCATTCTGGCTCAGTCTGGCCTTTGGGAGATCTGTGAACAAGTCAGGAAAAGGAAGGGATTGAAAAAGCATCAAGTAAGCACCTACTGTGTGCAAAAGCAGCACACACCTTGCTGTCAGGGGGCTCATGGGCTAAGGGGGAGACTATGTTGTTGGCATGATGGATCATCATCCCCATTTTATGGGGGAGCACAAGACCCCACCCAGCCAGGGGAAGAAGGTGGCATGGGGAGATGAGAACTCACATCAAAGGCTATGGCTATGTAACTCCTACATGTCCTTCCCCAGAGAATCCCAGACCCTCCCCCATGCTTAGAGCACCCGGGACAACTGGCCCTCCCAGCTTTGAGGAGGCTCCTCCTGTCATCTTCAATCATATAGAGCCCCGTCCTCCCAATGAGTCCAACAGGAAAGAGAACAGGGGGCACCATTTCCTCCCCACTCCCAGAAGCACTGCCCCTTCAAGCAGCCACATGGACTTTATGGGGTGATGGGACCTGGACCCCTAAAAGGAAAAGACCATGTCTTTGAAAGCAGCCCAGTCCCTGAATTTTCTCATCCATTTCAGCAGCCCAGATCACCGGGGGTTTACACAAGGCTCACAGCCCACCCCAGCCCTCCTAGACCACCTAATTAGCCTACTTGATATTCCTTTCAAGGCTGCACCTGGCCCACCCCAGACTACTTACCACTTCTTAATCCCACCCAGATCCTTTCACTGTCCCTTTTGTATATAAGCATCTGCACCATCTGCATTAGTTTGTAGGTTCTCTAGGAACTTGGCCTGCCTCTATTTAAACTTTTCCACTTGACTGGAAGATGGTTTGAGTGTGTGAATTTGTTCCAGGCAACTCCCCCTTGCACCCTGACATTTCTGGGTTCCCAGCAAGCCCAAACCATGTCATCTCCATATTAGTCATGTTACAAAACAAAACATAGTCCAAAAAAAAAAACCCAACCCATAAAAACCGAGTGAAAAACAGTATGCTTTGATCTGCATTCAGAGTCCACCAGTTCTTTCTCTGGAGGTGGATAGCATTTTTCATCACGAGGCCTTTGAAATTGCCTTCAATTATTGTCTTGTTGAGAACAGCTAAATTATTCATGGTTGATCATCGTACAATGTTGCTGTTACTGTGTACAATGTTCTCCTGGTTCAGCTCACTTCACTCACTGTGCATCATGCATCACGTAAGTCTTTCCAGGTTTTTGTGAAAGCATTTCTTATAGCACTATAGTATTCCATTACAATCATACACCACAACTTGTTCAGCCATTCCCCAATTGATGGGCAATCCCTCAATTTCCAATTCTTTGCCACCACAAAAAGAGCTGCTATAAATATTTCTGTACATTTCAGTCCTTTTCACTTTTTAAAAAAAATCTCTTTGGAATGTAGACCTAGCACCGGTATTTCTGGATCAAAGGGTATGTACAGTTTTATAGCCCTTTGGGCATAGTTCCAAATTGCTCTCCAGAATGGCGGGATCAGTTCACAACTCCACCAAAAATGCATTGGTGTTCCAATTTTCCCACATCTTCTCCAACATTCATCATTTTCCTTTTCCGTCACATTGGCCAATATAATAGGTATGAGGTGGTACCTTGGCATTGTTTTAATTTGCATTTCTCTAATCAGTAGTGATTTAAAGCATTTTTTCATATGACTATAGACAGCTTTGGTTTCTTCACCAGAAAAGTACCTGTTCATATCAATTCGGGAATGACATATTCTTATAAATTAGACTTAGTTCTCCATAAATTTTAGAAATAAGGCCTTAATCAGAGAAACTTGCTGTGAAACACAACACCCCCCCCCCCCACTTTCCTGCTTTCCCTCTAATTTTGACTGCATTGGTTTGGCTTGTGCAAAAACTTTTAAATTTAATATAATCAAAATTATCCATTTTATATCTCACAATGTTCTCTAGCTCTTATTTGGTCATAAATTCTTCCCTTATCCAGAGATCTGACAGGTGGACTATTCCTTTGTCTCTGAATTTGCTTATGGTATCACCCTTTATGTCTAAATCATGTACCAATTTTGACCTTATCTTAATATATGGTATAAGATGTTGCTCTAAATCTAGTTTTTGCCATGTTGTTTTCACAGCAATTTTTGTCAAATAATGAGTCTTTTTGTAAAAAAGCTTGGGTCTCCGGGTTTATCAAGCACCGTATTACCATGGGCATTGACTACTGTATCTTGGGTACCTAACTCATTCCACTGATCCACCATTCTATTTCTTAGCCAGTACCACACTGTTTTGATGACTGCCACTTTGGACTTCTGGGAGGCAAGACAATGGAGTAAACAGGAAATCACCTGAACTCTCCCATATTTACCTCCAAACAACTATAAAATAGCACCCCTAAATGAATTCTGGAACAGCATAACTAGCAACAAGATGGGGTGAAACAATTTCTAGCCCTGGAAACTTGGAAGGTTGGCAGGAAAGCTCTGCCTCACTCAGACAAAAAGGGAGGACAGCCCAGGAGGCATCCCAGACGGCCAGCAGCATGCCTCAGCAAGCCAGTGGGTGGCCCTGAGCCCTTTGTGCCGGAGCATAGCACCAGGTGAATGGGGAGATGCCTCACATACCTCAGCACAGAACAAGGTAAGCTGCATGACGCCTGTGGCCTCCAGCAGTGTCAGCAATCCTCCACTCCCTCAGCGCAGCACCAGGCATGAGGGTCCCCTATATGCCTCAGGGTAGTACCAGTGCAGCACCAGGCAAACAGCCAGGGCCTGCAGCCCCTGGCACAAGAAGTTTGAGACAGTGCCCCTTTCACCCTAGGAATTTAAAACTACAAAGAAGGAAAAAGGCTAGAAAAGATGAGCAAAAAAAAAAAAAGAATCTGACCATAGAAAACTATTATAGTGATAGGGAAGATCAAGGTACAAACTTAGAAGAGGACAACAATGTCAAAATACCCATGGGCAAAGCCCCAAAGAAAAATGGGAATGGGACTCAAGTCCAGAAAGAACTCATGGAAGAATTTAAAAATCAAATAAGGGAGGGAGAAGAAAAATTGGGAAAATAAATGAGACTGATGCAAGAGAATCATGAAACAAGAGTCAAGAGCTTAGAAAAAAAACAACTCGTTAAAAAGTAGAATTGGCCAAAATGTAAAAGAAGTACAAAAGCTCACTGAGGAAAATAATTCCTGAAAAATTAGAGTTTAGCAAGTGGATGCTAATGACTCTATGAGACATCAGGAATCAATCAAACAAAATCAAAATGACAAAAAAAATAGAAGAAAATGTAAAATAGCTCATTGGAAAAACAACTGATCTGGAAAATAAATCCCGGAGAGATAATGTCAGAATCACTGGACTACCTAAAGCCATGATCAAACACATCATACTTCAAGAAATTATCAAAGAAAACTGTCCTGATATCCGAGAACTAGGGGACAACATAGACATTGAAAGAATCCACCAATCACTTCTGGAAGGAGATCCCAAAAAGAAAATTCCCAGGAATGTTACAGCCAAATTCCAGAACTTCCAGGTAAGGAAAAAAATATTGTAAGCAGCCAGAAAGAAGCAATTCAAATATTGGGGAGCCACAGTCAGGATCACACAGGACTTAGTAGCTGCAACATTAAAGGATCAGTGGTCATGGAATACGATACTCTGGAAGGCAAAGGCACTAGGACTGCGACCAAGAATCACCTACTTGGCAAAACCGAACATAATTCTTCAAGGGTAAAAATGGTCATTCAATGAAATGAAAGGCTTTCAAGCCTTTATGAGAATACAAAAAATAGTAGAACAAAAAATATTTTCAATATCAAGACTCAAGAGAAGCATAAAAAGGTAAAAAGGAAAGAGAAAACATAAGGGATTCAATAAGGTTAAACTGCTTACATTCCTACATAGGAAGATGATACTTTGTAAATCTTAAGAACTGTATCACTAATAGTGCAGGTAAGGAGTATACATAAACAGAAGGTATGGATATAAGGTAAATTGGAGGGGATGCCATAAAAATTAATTAAGGAGTGAGAAAGAGGATTATACTGGGAGCAGAAGGAAGGGAGAACATAGAACATAATTATCTCAACAGATGCTGAAAAAGCTTTTGATAAAATAGGCACTCATTCCTATGAAAAACATTAGAGAACATAGGAATAAATGTAGCATTCCTTAAAATGACAAGTAGTATCTATCTAAAACCATCAGCAAGGATTATCTGTAATGGGAATAAGCTAGAAGCCTTCCCAATAAGATCAGGGTGAAAGAAGAATGCCCATTATCACCACTATTGTTTCATATTGTACTAGCAATATTAGCTATAGCCATAAGAGAAGAAAAAGATGTTGAAGGAAATAGAATAGGCAATGAGGAAACAAAACAAACATTCTTTGCAGTACAGTATGATATGATATGATAGTATACTTAGAGAATCCTAGAGTATCAACTGAAAAACTACTTGAAATAATTAACAACTTTAGCAAAGTTGCAGGCTATAAAATAAACCCACATAAATCATCAGCATTTCTATATATGACCAACAAAGTCCGACAGCAAGATACAGAAAGAGAAATTCCATTTAAAATAACTTTAAACAATATAAAATATTTGGGAGTCTACCTGCCAAGACAAACCCAGGAACTAAATGAACACAATTACAAAATATTTCTCACACAAATAAAGTTAGATTTGAGCAACTGGGAAAATAGCAATTGCTTTTGGTTAGGCTGAGACAATATAATAAAAACGACAATTCTGCCTAAACTAATTTACTTATTCGGTGCCATACCAATCAAACTACCAATTTTTTTTTTTTTTACATACAGGCACAATAGGTTTACTGGAACGTCTTTAGTCACAGGTGAAAGTAGCAGTATTGAAAACATTAGTTTCTCCATAAATACATAGAAACTATTTCCAAAACCTATTTTTTTAACATGAGAAAAATTATACATTTTATAATCATTAACTGAATGGTTGCCATCCCTTTTTACATAATGTTTCACCTCTTATCTCCCACCCTATCCCTGAACTTGATGCAATAAATTCCCA